AGGACATGCCCCATTAGTATTCTCCCTCCTGATAGAGTTCCACCATCATCCCTTCAAGGTTTTGTTCACAGATATTACTATAGCCAAGAATGGTCACACACACCTGTAATCCCAGCTACTTAAAAGGCTGGGGCAAAATTGCAAATTCAAGGCCAGCATATGCAACTTAGAGAGATCCATCTAAAAATCTAAAAAAGATAGCATACACCTTACACCCTTGTAGGAGATAATGCACATAAGTTATTAAATGCACAAAGAAGTCCTGCAGTAAAGCCAACTCACCTTTATTTGACCCTGCATGCTCTAAAATTATTTGCCTAAGTGCTCTTTTCCATGGAAGATATATTAAAAGCCTGATGTTCAAAAGGCTATATGGCCAACCTCGTCCATGGTCCTGGATATACTTGAAGGAGATTCAGACCTCCTAACTCTCCATATAGAGTTCTTTCCATTAGAAATTTTTAAAAAATTTCTAAAAAAAAAAATTTTTTTTTTAATCTAAGATGAGTTGGGTGTCGTGGGGCATATTTGTAATCCAGCAACTCAGGTGAAGGAGGACTGCAACTTCAAGGCCAGCAACCCTGTCTCAAAATAAAATAAAAAAGGGCTGAGGATGTGGCTCCATGGTAGAGTGCCTGCCTAGCACAGCAAGGCCTGGCTGGGTTCAATACCCAGCACCCACTGGTGTCCCCCACTCTCACCCCAGGGATTTGGGGCTTACAATTTAGAAAAAGATCAGGGAAAAAGCAGTCAATCCAGAATCCCAATGGGTAGTTTAAAACAGCAGCATGGTGCTAGGAATAAAGGTAACCCAGAGTGGACACTCATGTGAAGGGGCAGCAGCTACTCAGCTCTTGCTGATGAATGCCATGCAGGACAGGAGAGCAAAGTAGTCAGATGTTTTCTAAATAAATTAGAAATCTCAATTTTAATGCAAAATCACTCTAATTTCTAAGTGTTGGTACTGTGTGGGTCAAAGTAAGCATGCTTATAAGTCCACTGTAGTCCATGGGACTATTTTGAGAACTGCGGTCTAGGTATCTACAAGATTATTGGGACTTCAGAAGAAAGCAAAGTTTGACAATATGCACGATACCAGATTTTAAATTAAAGATGAATAAATCTCAGTTGAAGACGAATGAAGCCTTAAGAGGCTCACAATGGAAAGCAGTTCACTTACTATCCACTTTTCAATACCAAATAGCAATACTTCCATTAACATGTGGTGACCTAAAAGGGTCAGTGACATCACCAAAACCCTTTAACAAGGACTCATTCTTTGCCGACAAATATACTGAGTGCCATCAGAGCAAATCTACAGGAGCAGCCCATAGACTTTCTACAGAAACTGATTTCCTTTGAATGTTTGAGAAACATAAAATGAGCACAGAGGCATCAGTCTCCTACAAAATTCAACCACTGGACATGTATGAGACAGTCTCCATGGAGTGCAACTTGAATCTTGTGAGCATTCAACACACTAGACTTTTCCAAGTCAAAAACATATATTAACTGAGCCAAGGCATAATCTCTTAAGGCTTATCTAATAGCCAATGAATATAGCTTTTTCCTTTAATGGCTGATGTACAATGCTCTCTTAGAGTATTCCCAGTGACTTGGGAGGCTCAGGAGGATCCCAAGTTTGAAGTTAATCTCAGCAACTCAGTGAGACCATGTCTCAAAATTAAAAATAAAAAGGGCTAGGGATGTAGCTCAGTGTAGTCTACCCCTGAATTCAATCACCAGTACCAGCCCCCCCAACACACACACACAAAAGCCAGCATCTTAAAGCATGAAGTCCCAAATCAGCCCAGGTGTAGATATACAACACACATCTCAAATTATTTACTGCTCAGTTTCAAAGTGGAAAATGGATGCATAAGGAGGAATCTTCCAGAGAATTATGGAACTTGATGCTGCACGCCAATCAACATTTCCATAAAAATAAGCCAGTAAAGATTAGGTTCCAGGCATAAAAATCCTCTGAAAGGTTACTTTCTACTGATTTTATAATGCTTGGTCATACTTACTCAGGTGCAGGGCCATCAGGATGCCGGACTCCATTTATGTACCATTTATGCTACATTGTATATGAATAGAATCCTCAAGTTATGCAATTCAGAAGCACTGACTTGGTCAAACTCAAAAAAGGAGCCTGACTACTGAAGAGCACTGGCAAAAGCAGCTCTTCAAGTGACACCTGGCAGATAACTAGTCCATCAGCTGGAAGGCTACTTGGAACTCCTAACAGTATAGCACACAGACCGTGTCAATATGTGATTGCTCCTACTTTATGATGGGTGCTTCTAAACTACCAGTGGATCTTCTGCAGACATTTAAAAAATATCTTCAAAAAAACTGAACAGGATAAAACAGATTTGCAACTACTGATCCCAAATCTTAGTGAGGTCCCCTTGTAACTCAGCCAGTCAGGACAGAGGTGCAGAGTTTGGCTGTGGAAGATGACTCACTCTGGCTTTGAACTCACATCCAACCTTTATTAAGATCCTGGCTTCTCCAAACTAGTTAAAGACACACTTTAATTCTGCTAGCCATCCAATGAATTATGCGCTAGTTTATATACTAGCTATGTTTTTTTAATACCCAACACTTTTAGATCTTCATCAATAGGACTGAATCAGATCACATGTTTACTACCCTTCAGAACAGATATAAATTAATTACCCATTTGTGCCAAACATTAGTAACTCACTGGACCTCCCGCTGAGAAAAAAATTTCATGGAACATCTTCCGAGACTCCGTTTTGATCTCAGAATACCATGCTTGAGTAAACTAACAGCAACCATTGGTTCACTTTGTTGGAAAGAGTCCAAAGGATATACAAGGCTTCAAGATGCCAGAAGAGAAGCTCAGTGGATTAGGTGCTAGACTCCATATACCAGATTGAAAAGAAAGCAAGGATTCAAATCCCAGCAGGGTGAACTCAGACTCTACTCAATTGGCTAGAAAAACCGAGCACAAGACAGCTTACAACTTTCTTAACAAAAGTATGAAGGTCCTACAGTCGCTGGTATTTACAAGGACATATAAGAGGCGGGAGGTCTATAGTCACTCACATAAAGAAATATACTGTCTCTATTTCCACTTGCTGGGGGGCAAGTTTCTGCAACATGCTTATATATACTATGAAGAAGGAAAACCATGACCACCCAGATGCCCAAATAGTATGAGGTCCTTTGAGGTAAGCTTTACTGTTATCACACAATATTACAGATTTCTAACATTCCATTCTTGCCCAATACGAACTGTAAAATAAACCTAAAATTACCCACAAACCTGTTTTTTTTTTTTTCTTTAGTTTTTAAAGGCCATCAAATCCTTGAAGATAGTATGGACCTCCAGCTGATAACATTCAGAAGGAACACACTTAACAGCCCTGGCTCCACTGGGCTATTATGGCTCCAGTCAATGGTGCATCTCAAAGCTGAGAACAATTCCAATGAAGTGTCACTGCTAGTAGTAAACAGCACTGCTTCAACAATCCACATTAAGTCAGCATTTAACACCTGAGAGTCTCCCTCTTGAGCAGGTTGTCCGAGAGTATGAGTTCAACCACTGCCTCAAGAGAAGTAGAAAGTCTTCGCAATGTTTCAAAATCATTTTATGTTCAATTACAGGCCTTCTGCAAACTGAGGATCTGAGCTCTTTAAGGTAGTGGCTACAATTCTTCCAGGACACAGAAGGCCAACAAGGTGATTGTCACATATCAGCACAGAGTGATAGGCATTATATATTAGTAGCCAGTGAGAAACAAGGTCGATGACCCTGTACTGCAGAGGAAAGTAGCAAGCAGTGTTGTAGGGGGGCTGGATGGTATGTTCATCCACTGTAGACAGAAGGTGACTGAAGTCTAAGATGGAGATACTACAGTAATAGTTGGTACCTGGGCAGTAAGTAACAATTCGTCAGACAAAATTTTAGGTGAAACCACAGGGTTGGAAAGTTCTGGGATCCAATATAATGTCTACAGGAGCATCAATATTAACATGAAAAGTCAGTATGTGGGAGACAGAAAGGATGCCTCCCCTGGAATACTGGAAAGAGACCGAAAGACCACATCTTCAAGCTCTGGAGTGGAGGCCTTCTTCTAACACAAGTGAGTCCTGTGGCTTTCTGTTAGGAATCAAGCAGTCATTAATTTCAGCCCAACTTTTAAAGTATCAGTGTTCTTACAATTTATATAGGAAGAGATGACGAACATGAGACATTCAGCAAGGAAAGTTTGTTAGGACCAACTTAGTACGTTTTAGACACAAAAGAATGGCACATTCATTCTAAGCACCGCCAAAAGCCAAACAATATTTTTGGCAGGTTCCATATTCTTCTCCAGGGAAGCTTGCAACCTCTTACTAACCTATTTTATCTTGGACAAATGCACACTGTCAGAAGGTAAAGTTTCTCTTCCAAAATGGGTCCCTGTCATTCTCTTCAGGAGAGGAAAACTACTGCCACTTCTGCCTCTTGGGGACCACCCACTTAACACCTCCTCTCTCCTCTCTCCAAACACCTTTAAAAATAAAATATCCTCGAGTTCCCTCCACTCCACCTTCGAAACATAGAAAGTCCAAAGACGAAGGATTCCAAGTTTTAACAAGCTCTTTACTGGGTGTTGAGAAGACACCCTTATACTTACAGCCGGATCCTCACTAGGAGCCTCCCGTCCACCCGCTCCCGAACCCCAGAACCCATCACTGACAGCCCCAGGGGTACAACCCGGGCGCTGGGACGCCATGGGCGCGCTGGGCAAACGCTTTTCCAGCGGCTTCAGACACCTGGGAGACCCGCCCGACAGGCTGAGCCTGGGCCTCGCGGTGGCGCCTCGTGCCCCGGCTACTCCCGGCTGTAGACGCCCGGCCGAACGGCCGGGCCCGGCTGAAGCGTCGACTCAGGCTGTCTCCAGCCCCCAGGCCCGACCCTCTTCGCCCGCCCTGGCCCCGCCTCGGTCTCTAGTGCTCCCGCCGGCCGGCTGCGCCCGTACCTGCCGGACCCGGTGCAGGGCGTCCACGAAGCCCTCGGCCTTCATGCCCACAGGAGCGCTCTGTCCCTGCACCAGCTCCGCCATTACCGCCGCCGCCGCTCGGCTCCCGGGTCCAGCCTCCCGCTCCGCTCCGGGACCCGTAGCCGGAAAGGGAAAGTCGCCCCACTTCCGGCGGAAGGGAGGCTGGGACGCTCGCCGCGACAGGAGCCGCGTCTGCGGGGCGTGGTCAGAGCACGCGACCTCCCGACCGGAAGCGGGGGCGGAGCCGCGGTGCGAGGGGCGGGCCCTGGTGTCGGTCGGGAGGACCTGGAGGCGGTTGCACCCTCCTGGTGCGGGGTTCTGTTCCGGGACGTGGAATATGTGGTGACCCGCCCTCGAGGCGCGGACATGGCCCCAGGTATCTGGCTGTTGGCCTGTGTGGAACCTCAGCGAGGAGAGAAGTGGCTTTCCCAAGACAGCGTTTCAAGTAGCCAGGCTCCACTAACAGCCTGACCTTGGGAGCCCCTCCCTGAAATGGCCATTGGCCGGAATATGGTATTGTGAGCCCCATGAAACGGTATCGTGAGGCCCAGAGTGAGGCATGGAGGGCCAGGGACAGCACCGCAAAATGTCAGAATTCCACGTTTACAGGGAGTCCCTGGCCCCAGTTTTCCCAATCAGTTTGCCCATGCGGAACATCACCTGTCTTTCACAAACTTTGGGATTGTGGGAAAACAGGAAATACCAAGGACCCTCATTGCTTCCATGGCGGCTGATCTCAAAACGTAGTTTTTACTGGTATTCTTAGAGTTTGGCACATAGTCCAAAAGGACTTTTGGAATGCTCATAGAATTTTTAAAATTTTGTGATGGTTGTGAATAGTTTCAGATTTGTCGAGGCAAGGAACGTAATCTTAGTGCAGGAATACTCTTAAGCCTTTGGGGCAGATCTTCCTACATATATGAAGCATTTCAAATGAGCAAACAAAGTCTCCAGAAAAGTAACAAGGTTTAATGGCTTCTAGACACATCTTACTAGTGGTAGATCCAACCTGGGCTGCCCACATTTGATTGCTCTTGGATCTAATATTTCCTGCACCCAATCATGTCAAGGAGTTGAATTTCCTGGAGAACTAAAGGTGAACACCAAGAAAAGGAAATAAAGAAGGTCCAGTATGACTTCATTTGATGACTCCCTTCCCCCACCACAGTGTTAGCATGCTGGGAGCTCTTTGATAGAAGTATGAGGAATAACTGGCCAACAGTTGAGCACACAGTTTGTTTTTTATTTGTCGATGACTTTGCTACTTAGACTGTAGAGGTGACACTCATTTTTACCTGTATCCTTAGAGTTTAGCACCTAGTAGATGCATAGGAAATTCTTTTGAATTGAATAATGCCAAATTGGATTAATTCCTTAGCTTGTGGCAAAGTAAAAGAATGTGACCAAATTACAAGATTGAAGATGATCACTTTTAGACAGAACTGCCCCTGATGTTGGAAAGTGCGTAACTGGCAGTGCTGTTGCTGTTTTTCCTTGCTGAGGGGCCATTATGGGGCAGGAATGTGCCAACACATCAATTGGTTGCCCAGCCTGCATATGTTGAGTGTTTTAACTTTGCTAGATTTATATAAAATCAAAGATGGTTCTACTGCCCCAATATCAGTGATATTTCTGCTTTGAATTGCTTTTATGTCTCTGAGTTGAGAATAGCAATTCATTCATATTCCAACTGGCTCTTCCAGTTGGAATATAGGGTAAACAGTAAAGATAGGGTAAACAGGGTTCTTGCCTTAAATATAAAATACACTCCAAGGTTTGGTTCAAAGATCACAGAATGCCTAAGTAGAATATAGGGTTCTGGTTCCCCCTCTTTTTCCTGGTTGGGTAACTTTGGACAGGTCACTTATCTCTGGGGCCCAAAAGAGGAAGATGACCCAGCCCTGGCCAGACCACTGCTGTCTGTTCTAACATCCTGGACTTCATTACTGTAGCATTTATCACAGTTAATTGTCAATGTCATTGTATAATTATTTGATTATTGATTGTCTTTCCACTAGAATAAAACTTTTTCTGAGACAAGGACCATGTTTGCCTGTCTATTGCTGTCCCCAACACCTAGTACAAGGCCTGGCATTTGGTCCACTCTCAATATTTGTGAAGTGAATGCATGAAGATGATTAGGGAAAGAGTCTCAGAACAAAACAAAACAAAACCTTCACACACCTTGTTTGTGACTAACTTTGCATATGAGACTGACCCTCTCTGAGCTTTGGAGATGTGTTACTGGTGACTTTGAAATGCTTCATCCTTAAATATTACCAACTAAAAACCACACTAAACCAAATTGCATGGAAAATGAGAGTCTAGGTTAGGCTACAGTTACCAATCTTAAAATCACAGTGGCTCACCATGCAAGTTATTTTTCACTCACGCTCTTGTGAGCATAGCTGGTAGCATGTGCCATTGCCACATGTTATCTTCACCCTACAACCAAGTCTGGTAGAGCAGTCTCTGCCTAGAACGTGATGCTTTGGCACGGCAGAGGGAGGAGAGAATGGCAAGGCCTAAAGCACCTTTCTAGCCTCTGCCTGCAGTGAACTTTTGTACACAGTTCATTGGTCAAAGAATGTCACATGGCCAAGCCTGACGTCAATAGAATGCAGAGAGAGGAATGAAGCCCAGGATGACTCTTAAAGCTTTTGCCTAAAAATGACATATGCCACTTTTGCTCACATTTAATTGGGTAATACTAGTAGTGTTTGGATGAAAAGCCCAATTTATCAATATGTTTCTATGTGTTTACTTCCAGTGTTTTACCTAATAAAAAGAATGGCTCAGCCCAAGGTCACCAAGATTTCCTCTTATGTTCTCTACCAGAAGTTTTATAATTTTAGGTTTTACATTTATGTCTAAGGTCCATTTTGAGTCCCTTGCATAATGTTGAGGTATCGGTCAGTATTCATTTGGTTTTCATAAAGATAGCCAGTTGTTTGAATCCTCAAGTAAAAGGGGCTATCTTTTCTCCATCAAATTGCCTTCACATCTTTATAAAATCAAACCAAAACCACACCAAAAGACCAATTAACCACACAGGCAGAAGTCTGTCTCTGAACTCTACTGTTCTATTAACAAATCATTACCATCTTGATTACTGTAGCTTTATAGCAAATCTTAAAATCAGGTAGTATAAATCTTTCACCTTTGTTCACAAACCCCGCCCACAATTTCTAAACTATTGAAGTGCCCTGGCCTGAATGTATAAATTTTAGAATTAGCTTGTTGCTCTCTATATAAAAAAGTCCTTTAGGAGTTTTCCTGAGATCATGTTGAGTCTATAGATCAATTTTTGGAAAACTGGCATCTTAACAATAGCAAATCTTTTGATCCATTAATAGTATGTATCTCTGTATTTATTTTGGTCTTGATTTCTTGCCCAAAGAATGTCACATGGCCATATATAAAACATGGCTATATATAAATGTCACATGGCTATATATAAAACCAATGTTTTATATATAGATCCTGTACATATTTTAGATTTATAACTAAATATTTCATGGGTTTTGGTGTTCTTATAAGGGATAGTCTAAATTGTTTTGATTTTCAATCTTTCATTAATGGTATATAGAAATTAATTGATTTTTGAATATTAAACTTTTGTCCTAAAACCTTGATAAACTCATTTATTAGGTATAATGGCTTTAAAAAAAAAAACTGGGGATTGAACTCAGAGGCACTTACCCCCAAGCTACAGCTACAGCCCTTTTTATTTTTTATTTTTAAACAGGGTCTTGCTAAGTTGATGAGGGTATCACTAAGATTCTGAGGCTGACCTCGGATTTGGTCCTCAGCCTCCTGAGTCACTGGGATTCAGGCATGTGCTACAGTGCCCAGCTGAGTTCCTAAAGTTTTCTATGTGGGTAATCCTGTCATCTGCAAATAGAGACATTTTATTTCTTCCTTTCTGAAACATGTTTCTTTTATTTCTTTTCCTCACCTATTGCACTGGCTAGGACCTCCAATATGATTTCAAATAGAAATGGTGCAAGGGGGCTGGGGATGTAGCTCAAGCGGTAGCGCGCTCGCCTGGCATGCGTGCGTCCCGGGTTCGATCCTCAGCACCACATACAAACAAAGATGTTGTGTCCACCGATAACTAAAAAATAAATATTAAAATTCTCTCTCTCCCTCTCTCTTAAAAAAAAAAAAAGAAATGGTGCAAGCAAACATCCTAGAAGTTTTCCTTATCTTGGGGAGGCATTCAGTTCTTTAGTATTATGTATGATGTTAGCTGCAGGTTTTCACAGATACCATCTGTCAGGTTAAGGAAGTTCCCTTCTGTTTTTCATTTCTGAAAGTTTTTATCATGAATGAAAATCGAATTTTGTCAAATGCTTTTTGTATAGCTAAGATGATGATATGTTTTTTTAAAAATGTTTTTAGTTATAGATGGACACAATACCTTTAGTTTATTTATTTATTTTATGTGGTGCTGAGACTTGAACTCAGTGCCTCACATGTGCTGGGCGAGCGCTGTACCACTGAGCCACAATCCCAGCCCTGATGACATGGTTTTAGTTCCTTTATTCATATGTGAGTCACATTGAGTGGTCCTTAAATGTCGAAGCAGCATTTCTGCTCCATGATAAACCCTACTTAGCCATTGCAATCATCCTTTTTCCATATTTGACTGATATTTTGTTGAAAGTTCTTCATTCACTAAGGATACTGACTGGCCATTTTCCTGTAATGTCTGGGGTTTGGTGTCAGGGTGACGCTGCTCGGCGAGTTGAACTGGGAAGCAGCGCCTCCTCTTCTATTGTCCAGAAGAGTTTGTGGAGAATTGGTCTGATTTCTTTCTTAGATGTTTTGTAGAATTTTTCCATGCAATCAACTTATCCTTGGGGTGGGGTATGGGGGGGAGATTTTTTATTTTTTGTTTTTCTTGTATATTTATATTGAGATTGGGTCTCTAATCCGCAGCCTGTAACTGAATCTTCAAAGAAGTCCAGTCAGGGGTGGGGATCAATGGTTGTTTTAGTCAGCTTTTTTGCTGCTGTGACTAAAGGACACCACCAGCACAATTGTAGAGGAGAAAAGGTTTATTTGAGGGCTCACTGTTTCAGGGGTCTTAGTCCATAGAAGGCTGCTCCATTTCTTGGATTTAGAGATGAGGCTG